GGAAATCTCGTTTTTCTCTCGACGACAACTACCTTAGGGTTAGGTTTATTTCTTCTGCTCTCTCTACTCTTTTTTTTTTCTTCCCTATTCCGATTTCGATTCGTCTTCTTCGATTCGCCCTTCACTCGCTCTGTAGACTTTAGGGTTTCGATCCCATCTTTCAATTCGGATCTGTACTAAGACATGGATGCTCGTAAGAGAGGACGGCCTGAAGCTGGCTCATTCAACTCCAATGGCGGCGGATTCAAGAAGTCTAAGCAAGGTTAGCTCTTTCACTCTTCGTTTTCCTTTACTTCGTTCTTCGAGTGAGTTTTTAGCTATTGGGGATTCTGTCCTTAATTAATTTCAGTTCTTCTGCTTCACTGGCTCTAGTAAAGGTTAAAAATTTAAGATCTCCATTCTTGGATGAATATTTCTTGACTCAATTGGATTTGATTAGCACTGATTTCTGTAAATTGAGCTCAGTACTATGCTTACTGAGCAAAAGTATGGTTTTTTGTGTGTGTGTGGCTAGTCATGGCATCTACTAGGAGGCAAGATTAGGTCTTCCTCCCTCGCTGCTCTGTTTTTTTTGTGATGTTTTCTTCTTTCGATTAATTGTTCAATTGAGTAATGATAGATGATGAGCTTTTGCTAAGTGATACACTATATGCTTATGTTTTTCACTGTCTCTTGAGTTTGAGTATTGCTTGACTTTAATCACTCTTCCTTAGTATAAGCTAATAACATTTTATCACCATGCCAAAGACTTGGTTTACTTGATCGAATAAGCCTTTCACTATGCCAAGTGTTTCTGTGTCCAGTTGATTAGTAGTAACCTTGAAAACTGTCAAAGTGTTATGCATCTATGGATTTTAGGTTTCAAGTTTCATATAGATGAATGTATGAATGATATGTTGGATTCTAAAGCAAATATTATTGAACTTCTGAAAAATCTTAACTAAAGAAAAACAACTTAATGTTTGGAACAGAGATGGAATCATATTCAACTGGTTTAGGAAGCAAATCGAAGCCATGCACAAAATTTTTCAGGTTATAATCCTTTTTTTTCTTAATTGGAGTAATCTTCTTCCTTATCTGCAACTTTGAACCCGGAATTAACAAGTGATACTGTGTGCTAATGAAGTGGTTAGTTGTTATTACAGGTATCTAGCATCATTCTAAACAAGTGAAAAAAACTGTTTTTATATAGCAAACATGATTCTTACTAGGCACTGATAAGTGTAGAGCTCAACTGGTGATTAAAAAGCACAAAATCAACCAAAACTTGTCTTTTGTTTTAGCTATGACAGTTGTTGAGAAAGGTGTGGTATACTTCTGTTTGGTGGTAAGGTATTAGTGATTGTGGATCTGTACATGATCGATTGGGATCTCGCATTACTGGTGATATGTCCATCGTTGAGCAGAACAGTACAGTTGTTTCATTAGTATTGTATCCTCCCTTAACTAGATTAACATCACTGTTATACCCCAATCGATGTGCCATTTCTTCTGAGTCTTTCTTTTCTTGTGCCATCTTAATCCATTGCGTAAAACTCTCTGATGAATTATTCTTCTATTGCAGCACTTCTGGCTGTCCTTTTGGAGAGAACTGTCATTTCTTGCATTATGTTCCCGGAGGATACAATGCTGTAGCCCAGCTGACAAATATGGGACCACCCATGCCTCAAGTTTCGAGAAACATGCAAGGATCAGGTGGTGGAAGCCGATTCTCAGGGAGAGGAGAGTCTGGGCCTGGCCATGTCTCTAGCTTTGGCGCCTCAGCGACTTCCAAAATCAGTGTCGATGCTTCTTTAGCCGGTGCAATCATAGGAAAAGGCGGAGTTAGTTCGAAACAGATATGTCGTCAAACAGGGGCAAAGTTATCAATTCAAGATCACGAGGAAAACCCGAGCCTGAAGAACATTGAGCTTGAAGGAACTATTGAGCAGATAAACGAAGCTATGGCAATGGTAAGAGAGCTGATTGGGAGGCTTAATTCAGCTAGGAGACCACCT